TTTTTGCTCGTAAAACAAAATCGCTTCTGTGAGGAGGGGGAATACTATTTTCTCGATATCGCGTAGACGCAAACTTAAGGGCCACAGTAATAAGGACGGTGTTGTGTTTGTCCCCTTTTCTTTTTTCCTTGACTCAAGGTTGTTTCTTTTTCACTATGATCGTGCAGGGTTTCGACTACGCATTAACTCTTATTTCAGAATAAGGAACACGACTTTCTGCAGCGTAAAGTTTTGAATGCATAGAGCAGACCTATACTGGTCGAATTGAATTAGTATATTTATTTAATGTAGGCCTATATTTTAAGTGATGTAAATAGGCCAACACGGTTTCTTCCGAAACTCTCAAATTTAGAACCTTTTAGCGACTTTTCAACAAATATTAGATTATATTTTTAAATTTAGAGACTTAAAGCCTCACCTTTTTTGTAAGAGTTTTTTATGCTTCGAAAACTTTGTAAAAGGTATGCCAATTGTAATTTAAGGACGGTATTTTACATACTCGTCAGTACACTCTAAAACTGTTAAGAGGGGTATAGCTCTCTAATGTGTGAGATCACCATTAAAAAAGTTATATTTACCTCACATTAATGAGGCTCAGATTGAAAGACTCCGGTCATCCGGGTTCCCGTGGCAAATTTTAAATTAGGTCGCCCCATCCTAGGTTAAAAAGTAAAATGAGCAAAAAGTAGAAAGCACATTGTTAAGAAAAAAAAAAGTGGTAGTGGTTCCTTACTTGCACAGGGTATCGCATAACTTAAGTAGTCCAACTATATATGGGCGTCCAGTGGCATCCTCAGCACATCAAAACATGGCACAAATGTTTTGCAAGAGACACATAAATTGGTAAGAAGTTCTGACAGAAATGTAAAAGGAAACATACTACCCTTTTGTGCCGTGTACCTCGTGCACTGCGCACGAGGTACAGCATCCCCTTCACATGTGGAAGAACGTATGTATGACCGACTGGAAGGTGTATCAATGACAGACTGCGAGAGCATAACCTGTATCTTAAATCAACGGGGGGGGAGGGGGGGGGGGTCTTCTACCCCTGCACTGTCAAGCTTGTTCTTGTAATCCAACTCTGGCTAGTACCACTAAAATCTGTCGACGTAAGGAAAAACTCTCCGGAGAAAGTCACGATGCGCTTATTAAACGCGGTTTGGGGAAGCGCTGTGTAAGCGAGCCTTCAGTCGCACTATCTGAAAATGAAGTCTTGTTGTTTAAACACTTCGATGAACTGAGGTCATCGCCTCGCGCCCTTTAATTCTTGCGCCAGAGCGCATGCCTGTCTGATATACGTAATTGTTTTGTTCTTTTTTTTCTGGGGAAAATACTGAATTGTAAGTTCAGCGTTTGTCCTGTCTCCTGGATTATCCTACAGTGTCCTCCCTTTTTTCGCTACTTTTAACCAGCTTTAATGCTTACCAACTAGTTCCGCTCACCACCCGTCTACAGATCCCTCATCACTCCCAGGTTCTTTCCTCAGTTTTATAGGAAAAATCAGCAAAATCACCAAATCACTCAAATTTTTTTTTTATATGTAATAAACCATTGTGTATGCGCGATAATGTGTCCAAGAACGGCCACCGTACTCGAGCACCGCTGGTCGATGAGACAGAAACTTTCCAACGGTAATTGACTGCAGCGTAAACCCGGCTAAGCTTTTCTTTTTCTTATTTTAAATGTTTTTGCAGTCTTTGAATTACCGTTTTTCCAGGACTTATCGAGAAAAATTTTGAAAACATTGAGGATGATTGTTTTTTAGCTGCCGTTCAAATATGGAAATATTCTGACTTTTTCAATATTTAGATGATTTCCGGACGCAATGCAAAAGAAGCTTACAGTATCTGAGCGTTAACAGTTTGTTAAAAGTAAACAAATCATCAATAACTCTAAAAAGATGAGCTTAAAAACACAATTATAATATGTGTTAAACAATTGCGAAACAACGTTAAATATGAAGGAGTTGCGCAAGTGGCCAGTTTGTGACTTTATTTTACTTCAAATAAATATAACTAATTCAAGCATACACGTTAGTGTGCTTTACAAATAAATTATTTACGTTGCAAAAATGTTTATTCTTTATCCCCGTGGTCCTCAAACTGGCGTCTACGTGTAATTGGAAAAAATCGTGTTCCACATCCTATCTAACACGATTTTGGTGGACAAAAACAAGGTAATACCTCTCAAAAGTAAGGTCCGTTCCGTTGTATGAAGGCGTTTTACTACCCTATATGAAAATGAATTTTAAATTAAAGATTCGGCATGACGCCCCTTAAGAGAACACACACATTAGCTCAAATAATACAATCATGCATCACGCAAAAAAGCCCAAGCCACATTTGATTCAAAAACGTAAAGAAGCCGCTGTAGCGAAATCAGGGTCTTTATTTTTTGCGATTTGCTGAGTTAAGTTCATTCTTAACATTTATGCGAAAAATGTATCATTCTTGATCAAGTCTGTGGAAAATCTCAACGCGATGCGGTATAAACTGAATGGCAGTGAGTGTGGCATAATCATAGGGCTGGAAATTGCAGAACGTGATAGACAAGGTTGGAGGGGCAAAAATGGTTTTGCCTTTTTTAGTGTGATTCAATCGTGTGCTGCCTTGTATATATAGACGCCCCAAATTCACTTGGTATCTATAAACCTAAAAGCGCATAACAAAAATAATGCAATACATTTTAATGCGTCTATACATGCACAATTTAAAAATATTTTCTCTCAATTAAACAAAATTCAAGGTGACATTTTCTTTTAACTGCACCTTGAATTTCATAAACATCCCTTTTTGAGGCATGCTTGAAACAACGGAGCTCTCTGTGTGTTTACATAGAAGATAAATGCATTATATACCAACAGATATAACTTTTAGGCAGATGATAGGAAAGTTAGATTGTTGTAACTTCAAAGTTTTAAGAGATAACGGCTCACAAATCCAGGGTGAAAACTTCAATGCAATTATGTTTAATAATTCTTTATTCGCGTAATTTATTTTATATGGATAAATTTTTATAAATAATTGTAGTAAGTAGCTACTTGTATAAAATATTTCAGTACTCTGGTCCCTGCAGTCTGTGTTTTATCAGCCAACAAACATTAAACAGGCATCACGAAAACGGTATTGCCGTTACGTATATATTACTTGCCTTCTTGAAATAATTATTTTTCATCAAAAATGCCTATTAATATGTTCACGCCTTTACTCATTGGGGAGTAACATATAGACATATAGAATATAAACAAAAACAAAGCTAATGTGCATAATCCTACCTGTATTGACCTTTACGATTTCACTGAGGCGCTCTATAGAAATATTTCTGAAGAACCAAATTTGGGTTTGGGAATAAACTTGCAATGAGCCAAATGAATGGCGATATTCAATGTTCGTGAATGTTTTCCACGCTGAATTGGTTCAACGTAAGCCAGCGCAAATTGTGTCATTTTTAATCCTCCACCATCACTTTTCACCAGATCATCGCCACCACGGCCGACAACGTTATCAGACGGAAAAATGAAAGCCGTTTACAACTCCCTGCAACACCGAATTAGAGCGCAGCTTTTGAGGAGGAGGAGGGAAGGGTACTGAGGGGAGCGTATACCCCCTCCTCCCTCCTCCTCGCCTCCTCATCCTGCCTGCAACTTCTCCCTCCGAGGGGCGTCTGCGTCGCCGTCGGCGTAACCGTGAGGTCACGCAACCCTCGTGACGTCACGGGACCCTCACGACCTCACGGGGGTCACGTGATGTCACCGGGGTCACGTGACGTCAACGGGGTCACGTGACGTCACTGGGGTCAAGTGGCGTCACCGATGTCACGTGATGTCACCGGGGTCACGTGACCTCACGGGGGTCACGTGACCTCACGATTATGTCGACGGCGACGGTGACGGCGACGCCGCTCAAGCCGGAAACGGACGCCTAAGAGCTGCGCTCTAAATCTTTTTATTTCAAATGCTCAAATTTAAAAGCACAGTTTTATCTTCAGCACTGTCAAAACGGGCTAAAACGTGTAATGGCGATTTAGAGATACCGCGGGTGCGAATAGCCTAATTTGTATCACTTAATCTCGATGACTCCAACACGACTGGAGGGAAGCCTGGCGATAGTGCATGGCTGGAGCATGACGGGAACATGACGCGATGAAGAATAACTAAAGCACGCCGGAGGAAACTGTGGCCTTGCCCGAGTTTAGTGCTTTCTCACGTGAACTTCGTGAATCAGTAGATGTTCTATAATAGCACTAAAATAGCCTTTGTAATGACACAAATTTGTTGAAGTGCTCTAGCAAGGCCAGTATGCAAGTACCAATAGCTTTACTACACCGTGCTAAAACTGTGGTTTAAAGGAAGGTATACCTCCTCTTAACCCCCAGTTTCATGTTTTATTATGTACAGGATCACTCTACAACATGAATTTATAGAATGATATTGTACAGTGATGCCGCGCAGTTTGGCGACCAATAGTTGTTGTATTCTTGTGTTGATTAGAGTCGCAGTCTTTGTCACTTCGAACGATCGCTGATTATCTACACTAATCTACACTAATCAATGAATAACCCTTATGAAGAACTCCATGGCGGCTGGAGCGCGACATTTTGCTGGCAGATGTATCTTCAGCTCAAGGTCGGACTTCATCGAATCGACTTTTTTCAATAATAGTTCAACACCTGCGCAGGCCCTCTTCACACTGCGACGAACACTCGAACTACGGTTGGCGTCCGGAAGGGGAATTACGCTTGTTCTATTTCCTCGTCTGAGTCGTGGAGGCGACAGGACAGGTAGCGCAACTACAGTGCCAGATGCCAGGCGTCATTCGAGCTTTCGTGGCTTGGTATCTTCCTTATGAGAAAAAGGTTCATTAGAGCTACTGCTTTCACAGCTGTAGAAGGAAAGGAAGGCTCGAGTCTGTCCAACAGAATTCGTAACCTGCAGCCTTTTCACTCTGCGCTATGAGAGTGAGCATGCAGTTTTAGTTCCGCCCATTCCCTGCTTGACGCAGGCAACTGTCGCGTGTGGACGGAGGACTCCCGGGGCTTCATCAGCAGCCCCAACTACCCCGAACCGTATCCTGCCAACTCGTCTTGCCGAGTGCCCCTAGACGCCGGGCCGAATAACGTCATCACACTCTACTTCATCGACATCCAGCTGGACCCGTACAAGGACTGCCCGTACGACAAGATCGAAGTCAGGGACGGCGCCACCGAAGGTACGTCGTCGCGCCTAATCTCAACCTTATGGAGGTCGCGCTGGATCAGGGTTTTCAGATTACGTCCGGAACATCTTAATATCTCAAAAAGCTCTATGGGATAAAAAACAGCCTTCATTGCGACGTCCAGTATCATCGTCTCGTTTGTAGTACCAAAGATTCAGTGTGCATTCGAAACCTTGAATGCCTTCAGAACGTGGGCTTTAGATGCATACAAGTGTTCACCCAGAGTCAGAACTTAATTGTATATAACGAAAAAACTAATTGACACCCTGGATAACCATAATGGAATACAACTCTTCTCAAGCTATTTAAATCCAGCAGAGACGGTAATTTCTACAGCAATGCATTTCTACTAAAATAGACATTAAACTTCTGCGTCGGCACACAGTAAATAGGATCATTTTGTCCTCGGTAATATATGAAATAAAAACAGCATAAATGCTTAGGCCAGTGAGCGCATCGGACAAAATCGTCATATACTACGCCGTTTTCGCTGTAAAGAGGTAGCTTTTGCTTACTTTCAGACAGTTTCAGAATAAGATGCAGCACATCTAGTGGCGGGCAAATCGGTCTATGTGTCTTGTGTATAAGGCAGTGAGAAAGCATGAAATGATTCGGGTATCGTGTACATAACAATCGGCACCTTATACGACTGAAAAAGTTCAGGCAATGCATTATGATATTGGTGTTTCTTTCAGACGCTTACCTACTCGGCCGCTTCTGCGGAGCTCAAGGAGAAGCCGAGGCGGTCACTTCGACAGGACGAGAAATGTTCTTCTTCTTCAACAGCGATTCTTATCTGAGCGGACGAGGTTTCAAGGCAGAATTCTTGGTTCACAAGAAGCCTAACGGTAAGAAAGCCTAATGCTGTCCGCGTTCTGACAAAAAGACGTGTTTTTTTAACTAGATAAATAAGAGTTTAGACCAATTATTAGTAGGGTAAAAACGGAAAGAAATGAGAACCAGGAGCCCAAAAAGCAGGAGAAATAATATAAGCAATAAATTCTATGACGTTCAATACTTTGTATGGTGCTTGAAAGTTTCGTAAAGTAGATACAGGGATGGGCAAAATACATGAAAATATGTATCAAAATACAAATACAAAATACTTCGTCAAAAATGTATTTAATTACAAATCTAATTACATTTCCAAGGAAGCATTTAAGTACAATATACAAATATACCCAAATGTATTTGGTCTCCTCTAAACACTTTTCCAAATACATTCCTCAAAATTTGCGTCAGCGACTTCAGGGCACCTGCAACGGGTTTCTAAGTATCTCATCTTAATTTGGCATTGCACACTCGGGAGTTAGTGTGCGAGGCTCTAGTAACGTAATAGAAATATAATCACAAAAAATGTAATCAGCTTGGACGTAATAAATGAAAAAAGTACAGAGCTTCAAGCAGCTTTTTTTGTCGATTACATTTTGGTATAGACCAACAAAGAACCGAGACGACCAAGACGCGCAGCACTAGCTAGAGAATTTTTTATTGTTGCAACTCGCACCAGTTACGAAAATCTGGACGACCCGCGCATTTAGAATGTTCCAGGGAAAAATATGAATGGAAATCAGGCTGGAAAGCATCACAAGTTGTCACAGGCACTTATATAGCCAGTCTGCCTGTGAACGTCGATTTCGTCACTATTCTTGCCCTGGACTAGCACCGCAGTCACAAAGTCACTAAACGCTTGTGCTTGATTGAGAGACACTGCATTCGGAGCGGAACATAGTTTTCTTCCTGCTCTGGACAGTGACAATAAATTTGAGGGATGTATTTTCGCCCACAAAATTGTATTTAATTATAATTGTATTTGAAATACCCACGTTTTAGTATTTAAATACGCACGTCAAATACATTACCCAACTTGTAATTAAATACAAATGAAAAATACACAAAGTATTTGAAATACGTATTTCAAATACTTGTATTTGAAATACTGCTCATCCCTGGGTATATATATTATCATAAAAAAGCGTATTGTTTGAAAACGAGCTATAGCTACTTGGGTCAGTTGCTGCGCGTGCTCAAGGCAATCATTTGTGTGACTTGTTCGTAAAAGTGCATTCGCTTATTTCAATTTTTTAGCGCTAACCAAATGCACAATATTGCGAAAGAGCCATGACCATCAAATTATCAGTTCAATGTAGAGCACGGTAGTGAACTGAAGAAAACACAATACTGTGAGAAACCTGAACGCGTTGTAAGCAAGATTTAGGATAGGAGAGCTGAAACGTGGTCCTTCAGCAAATTCTTGGTAGTGTATATTCTTTCATTAAAATAAAGGTAGTATTTAGGATTTGACAAATGTCGTACGGCACAAAACCTCTTCCACTGCATTTCAAATAAGTTAAGTTGCGGCCTCTTTGCCTTGAGCGACGCTGTGTATTTGCCCCATATTCGCGCTAGAAATCTGCGCCTCTCTTGTTGCCAGCAAAAGAAGGCGCGATGCATAATAAGCGAGTATGGATGATCCCGAGTTTCCATTAATTCTGAAATATATCGACTTTGACTGAACTGAATATTGATATCGAGAATATCTCACTTGTCCATCGTGGCTATCCTAAGCTCTCTGTACTTCATCTCACAAGTTGTGTGCTGTCCTATCAAAGATTCGATATCAGCTATATCTGGCACAAAAAAAACAGGTGCCGCCATATGAGAGGGTAACATTTCGCCCTGCACATTCCGTTCATTTTTAATTTATTTATTATAAAATAAACAACAACGAAACCTTGGCGCTGCGGAAGCCTTATTTTACAAGCTCTAAGTATATAGAAGTCACATCTGAAATCACGCGCTCGCGTCGGGGTCTCCAATATCACTTCACAGAACTGACATGAAGTGTGGAAGAGCCACTTTTAAGTTGAATTCTATTGGATTGCACTGCTAAGTGATCTGACAGACAAAAAAGTTCTAATCTTCAGAGATCTGTGACAAAAGTAATAGAATAATTTTTAATTTTTTTATCCAGGCCCCAAGGACCAAACAGGCAAGAGCAGGGGTTTCGATGATGACGAAGAGGTCCTTGACATCAGGGAATCCCCTAAAGACGTTTCTCTGCGCTACAAGGAGTCGCATATATTTCGCTGCCTGCCAGCCAGCGACAAGGCCGCAGTCACGTGGTGAGTACCCCACCTTCTGCGTGTCTATGTATTTTAAAGGCCGGTATACGTTTCCTCAAAACGTGCATCATGATTATCCAACCTTCCCACAATTCAATCCTCAATTTTCGCTTAGTCTTTTGAGCTGAATAGTGTTTTTAAGGCATAGCCTCTTTTACATTGAGAGTCCTGCACAATAATCTTCTCAATATCTTATGTCTGTGATATGAGCCCCCCTCTCCCGATTATCGCCTTTTCGTCTCCTTTTTAAGAACGTAGACAGGAGAGCCGAACATGGAATGTTTGACAATAGTCCAACTTCGGCACGGGCAGTCGCAATCTAGTATGTGACGCTGTTTACTGACGAGAGGGAAGGGCGAGAGGTTCCCTTTTTGAGAGGTATCCATGGATACGCAAGGACTTACTCGAATATCGGCATCTCGATAACGGCAGTTTCTAGGAAGTAAAAAAAGGACGACCGTTACACGGAGGAGGGGAGGGTTATCAATATAAAAACCACTCTCGTCTGCTTTCTTTACATTAGGAGATGGCGGAAGGAACCTTACGGTCGAGCATGTAATCACACTCCGTAAACAGGTATCCTCTTGTGCGGAGCAACGCTCTCAAGGTCCTTTATATTTGTTTTAAAATGTAAAAAGAACAATGGAAATTCAGAGATCAGAATTATATTATATAGCAGAATAGTTTTTGACATTTTCCACCCCCTGCTGCTGTGCACTCTTCGTTTCCACCTTATGACAACGGGAAATCACTGATATCGCAAATGTCTTGAAAATGTTTTTTAGTTGAATGTTGAAAGCCCCAATTAAAGGTATCAAACAAATTTATTTAAAAAAAAAAGTATTTGAAAAGTGTGGGTTACATTAGTCTTAGGAGTCCGAAATGCTTGAAGTATTTTTTCTGTTTGCTCTGCAATGTGGCAGCTGTACAAGACAGAGACAGAGAAAGAGGTTATTTGCAATTCCCGTGTACGGAGCTTAGTTGTGGTGGTCTACCACTTTACGTCGAGCAGAACATGTCGGAGAAAAATGGGACACAGCGTGGTCTCAAGCACCCTGGGAAGGTTGGGCCCCTCTGTCCAGCTTGGAGGGTCTCACAGCTAGGAGCCCCTATTATATGTTTGAAAGCAAGTTCGAGCGTAGCCAACGCTATGATTCAATTGATACAACAGAGCGACTCGGAAAGGGCATTTTAACGGCGCTCGTCGAGTTTGCATGTTCGCTATTACTGGCTAAACCAGTAGAAAAATGCGGCGAGGTCCAGTCTTTTTTTTTTTTTTTTGTATGTGTGCAAGTTTGGTTTAGCCGGTGATCGAAAACCCACAAAGACGAACGCCGTAACAATGCATTTTGGCACTTCGTGATTGGCTACTTAGTACGTAGCATCCTCTGGGCTCGGGCTTAGAGTGAGTGAGATTAGAAAAGCCCTTGAGCGATTTTCGTTTCAAAAGTCCCGGGTAATGCGCTTTATCTTTAACTTCGTCTTGTAAATATGTGCATCCTGTAACATTTCACATTGTAAGAAATATATACGCCTGGCACGCTACCCATCTCCTCCTTGGTTCCAACTGCTGAGGTAATATAATACGCGCACTTTATGCTCCTCCAGGGCATCTAGCATTGCTGTTTGTGTGATGTCAACCTTTGTAGCACGTTTTTCGACGACACAAGATACGATTAATTATACAGAAAGATTGTGTTACCTGAAAGGATGGGAAATACTGGCCGAGGTTACAAACTTGACCTGCGTCACAGAATTCCACCTGCTTCATATCAAAAAAAAAAAGAAGAGGAGAGCTAGAAATTGGTTGGCAATAGGAAAAAGTGCACGCTGTCAAACGCTTGATGGCTGCATGTGACTAAATGCATTATCACCCACTTAGCGCCACATGCAGTTGAGTGACGGGGTTGGAGAACTGCCGTTAGAAGCACTAAGAAAGTAGGCATAGCAGCGGACGTTGTCAATAGTCCTTCTAGATTAGTGTAAGTGAGTATAAATATGTTAAACATTATTTATTTCCTTGCTTTCTTTTGAAGGGGGTGAGGGCTGTGTGAAAATTTTTGGTGTTGACATTCCCTCGTGTTCTTAATTTCGGTCAGATAACGGCGTATGGATATTTGCTAATCCCTTCATTATCATACAGAACCTCAGACTAATAAAATTATACAAAAACAGAAAGTGATTGAATCTGAGGCGTGAAAAGAGACCTGCAAGCATCAGACGCAAGTAAAAAATAAACAAATATTGCCAACAAAAACCTGCAAGGATTATGCATCGGATATTAAACACCAAAAGTGGCTTGCAATTTTTTTCATTTTTTATTAAATATTTATGCATTTTGCTTCCGCGCTATAGGATAGAGCGTAGTCCTGTATGTTGCTAAGGGTGTTGCTGTCCTCAAATTCTATAGGATGAATTAATCACGTAGGTTCAAGGAGGATGAGCAACTCCGGATATTCAGTCAGGACCCAAATCTAGAGGGACTGCTGCTGGCCGGCAACAACACGCTTTGGGTGAAGGAAATGGACGTCTCGCTACGAGGAAACTACACGTGCCGGCTTTCTGCCGGTCGATCGATAAGAGACATTCACTTCAAGATCACTTACGGAGGCCCCTCCATTGTCAAGCCAGCATGCGACATAGGTAAGACCTGCTGTTTACTAGGAACTCCAAGTTTCCAACTTGTACTCGACAGACCAAAAGAAGGGGACCCAGGGTCTGCGGAACCGCACAAAATGCATAATGCTTGCCCTCTGTTTGATTGGTTTTGTCAAGCATCGCCCAACGGCTGGTGTAGATGGGATTAGCTTAGAAATTTTCTGAACATTCAGCTGGGCAAGATAGCGGGTGTTTTATATGGAATGAAACGTGTTTTCCAGTCTACGTAAATAAACCACGCATCCCAGGGAGCTGAACCTCCCTGAGAATGTGCGGCTAGTGGTTGGGGTTGCACGTGAAAGTTTGAGAACAATGCACTACCTATATCTAAAAAGAAAAGAGAGAGTACAAATTTCTCCATGAGCCTACGTCCACGCAAGCCTAATATTATAAACACATGAATCAACATTGTGGACGCATGCGGCATTTGTATCCGTGAAAAACACTAGGCAGCGAAAAGATAATGTCGTTCTCTTTCTTGATGAAACTTTGTTTTTGTTAAATAAATACTAATGGCACCCGCAATGACACTTTGCATGAAATAAACTATAAAGGCATCACACTACGGGAAAGTCATACCGGTGCTCAAAGACGGAAACAAACTGCTTGCTGAAAATTACAAGCGTTTTTAATTTTTTTAATATGTCAGTAGACGGCACATAGCTTTGTTTTTGGAATTAGATAAAATAGTAGCCAGCTTACAACTTCAATATAAAAAGCAACTGTCTACTATGATTCAACTAAATTCAGCCATTCATGACTTCGCCTTCGCGACTAAAAACAGGGAGCAAGTTGACGCAATAATTTTGGACCTGTTTAAGACATTTTATTAAATACCGCATTTCTGACTACCAAAACGTCAAAGCGTGTTTCTACGGTTTGGGATGACTGACGGTTTTCTATTACGTTTGAATGTGCGATCAGGCGTTCCCCTGAGACCGACCTTGAAAGAGCTCTTGTGTTTTAGTCTATGTCAATATTATATCTGGTAACCTTGCAGGAGTAACTCTGAAGACGTTTGCTGAACAATACACTATTTTCAAATCTATTAGCTACTCGACGGACTCAACAGTTTTTAATATCGATTGATGACGCCAAAGGTGACAAATACCTGTTAATTACTCTACGCCTTCTACACTCACGATAACACATATAACATCGTCTCCTAGCTTTGCGTACCAGGTGCGAGACAAATTCCTGGAATCTGTGAATGGCGCAAAATATCTAGGTCCTGCTAATAATTCAACGTTTACCTAGGACATTTTCTTAGACGATATATCTGCGAAGGCTTACACAAATTTGTGTTTTTAAAGAAGGAGTTTGAAAGCATATGGCAGGCAGGTGAATCTTTCACAGTACAAAAGTTTAATTCACCAAGTAATAAAATACGAGAAATGAAAAAAAAAACAAGTGAATTTTAATCGTGTGGGGCGCGTACACAAAATTACTGAAACATTTGAGGAGATCCCGCGAATAATTGCCCGTTTCATTTTTTTGTGTCTTAAGCAACTGATGCTGCTCATGAGCATGCTCTCGAATCTCGTGAAGAGCTAAGTTTCTTATATAAACATTTCAATTTAGAAATGATTTAGACAAATGACTATACATTTATCCTCCCCGCTAGATTGACTTCAGCAAGACAGAATAGCTAGAAAAAAAGTCAAGTAATCTGCTCCTACATTGAAGCTTCTAATTTCCCTTTTTTTGTGAGAACGATCAACGAATGCATTACGTTTCCTCCGACTGTTTAGCATGTCCGAAGTATTGACTGTTTTGAATTTCCCATTGAAACGCGATGAAAGCCTCTCCTGCTGGGGGGTGAATAAACGTCTCGAGTATTTGTTAAATGAAAACAGCAATAAAACCATCTATAAAAGACATTAGGTTCAGCCGTGTCATGCACTGAATATTCTGCCGCTAGAGTCTGCGATCGAACTTCACTCAGCCAGTCCCTCGCTTCGCAGTTCTTCGGAAGATCCCGGGCGACCTGAGCTTCACCCGGGGTGAGACCATCATCCTCCCGTGCGAGGCCAACGGCGCCCACGTGGCCACTCACTGGACCCGCAACCAGCTGCAGCTCCGCACGGGTGCTTCGAGGGTCACCATCCTGCCCATCGGCTTCCTCACCATCAACGACTCGCGGCCCGAGGACAGTGGGGTGTACGCCTGCGTCACCACGGACGTGGCCAAGAACTGTTCGCGCTCCTTCAGCGCCGCCGTCGTGGTCATGCCCAAGTCCAAGGTCCAAGAAGGTCAGGTCCTGACGCGCCTGGAACCCATTGCTGCTCAACCCCCGCGACAGCCACAGTCCCCTAGACCCGTTCCGCGATCGAGACACCGTGAAAGACTGTAGTTGGCTCGCCAAAAATAAAAAAAGGCAGTAGCCAACCAGTCTCTCTGGGTTCTTCTGTTCGACTGGAGGCCGTCGGAGTCGACGACTTTGGAGTCAGTCTGATGCTAAAAAATCGTAGCATCTGGTCTTTAGCCTAATACAACTCACTATGGCCTGACAGTTTATGCAGCAAAGCTGGCTTATGTAATTAATTTAATGACAATATCTTGCTGTTTTTTTTTCGATGTTGTGAAACAAAGTTCTTAAAATATATAGAAAACGGTCCTGTAGTCGATCGGGTTGATCACTATTTGTCAGGTGTACCGATTTTTAACAAGACTGCGTAAAAGGGGAGACAGTAGTTTACCAATAGTGCCTAAATGATTATCGAATAGTGTTATTTCAAAGCTCTTTGTCTGACCAATTTCAATGCGGTCAAGATATGCCTAACTTATGTTGGCATACCAAACGTAGATTCGCCGGTGCACGTTAGCTATAATAGGTTTAAAACTTGGCGTAAACTTTCAATAACCCGTTTATGCGATATGAAGAGGCAACTTTTTCTAATAGAAAAACACATTTCTTTGGTTCCCAGAAACGACATAAATATTACAAGATGGATATTTGTGCCATTTCTAGAAGAGCTCGTCGACTGTTCCCTAAGAGGGACAAAACTCTATATCAGGATTAAAAGCCATAAAAAACGTGGACCAGTAAAAGAAGACACACACACAGTAGAGCGCATTTGCTACTGAGGTTCAATCTGACTTAAAATCGAACTGGCTGGGCGATTCGGCATTTAGTATAGGGACAGCCTCAGTCAGTGTTGACGGCTCCAGCGAGTGTTTTGATTTGGCTACCACATTTAGGTACAGCGATGAACGTGGCAAGCACCCGATCGCCAAAAGAGCACGAATGACGCGATAACCAGTGAGCACTCCAGGTAAACCTTTACGCGATTGTCCAAGCATGCCCTGAAGAACCAGATGCAGCGTTATTAATAAACATACCAACGGTATGCCTCACACGCAGCTTTGCACGACAAATAATTAGCTTACCATTTTACTCCTTCGCCCTTACTCCCTCTTATTCACTCATTTTGCAGTATGTGGACGCACTTCGGTGAGCAACAGCGAACAACCGGCAGAGCGCATTTCCGGCGGTCAGGATGCCAGGAAAGGGGCGCATCCCTGGCAGGTAAGCCTGCTTTATCTTATGCAATAGCTGCGCGTAGCATCGGTTTCAAGATGTTTGTTTTGGCCATCGAGTGAAGCTGGCGTGTCGATTATGTAGAATGTGCGAAAAGATGTATGTCCCGCGTGGACGAAAGATAACGGAGCTAGACCCGTATGTAATAACATATGATTTTACAAATCATTCTGAAACAGTTAGTAGCGGGATAACATACCAAATTTGTGTACCTTTGAGGGTAGAGAATAGTTACACAATGATGATTTGACCTATATCCAGATATGGCGGTCATATAAGTACTGCCTCTGCTGCCGACCCAGGGTCTATGAGAAATTAACACCGTTGCAACATTAGATATCCACCCTCCGTGTCCAAGGTTAGCTGCTGAACAAAAAACTGGTGAGATTTCATAGTTCACAGAGGAAACTTCGTTCTGTATAAATGTGTATCATTACTACGTGATACATCTTAAAGACCTCCGATTGGCAGTCGTAGTGCATTGACTATATTTCCCATCTACAACGTGAATGAGAGTCGCCATGCTATGAGGGACCGACCTTATGGGGAACAGCTAACCTTCAATGTGGCTTGCTTTATTTTCCCAATAAATAGTGACCAACCTTCCTTCATCCTAATTCACCTTGCGATTTTCCTTGTTATCAATACCTATTTCGTGTTGACACCGTGTCACTAGCTTGACATTGGCACTTGATAAAATCTGTGTGAATAACCATTGACCCTACTTCCTTAGGGGGCGATGTGTTTGAAATTTAAAACCGTCCAGTGAGGTTCTCACGCTACTTAACTCCCTTCGTCAAAAACCGTATGGCACAAGGTGAATAGTGAATACAGCACATACTTCTAAAGAGATGGCCCCAAAACGTCTTTTTAGGGACACGGACAGCTACGGTTTTCGGCAACTAGAAGCAATCGCACAAAAACACCCTTTCCACACCCAGCACTATTCCTGCTGACTGTGGAGAAATTAAGAAAAGACTTCCTTTTATAAACCTTAGCGCGATAAAGCACCACTCACACGCACGCTCACGCAAACACACGCACGCACGCCCAAAAGCACACACAAACACACAGTAGGAATAAAAGGACTACTAATAAAATCCCCCTCGCCCCCCCCCCCCCCCCCCCCCCCTGAAAAAACATCGTTGCGTTTGTTCGCATTGCGAGCACTGAAATCAACACCAACATGGTGGAACTGGTGAGGATGATTTTTTTAGAGTGGCTTCTGCATCTCTCGATGGCAGTAGACTCTACAAGTTTCCCACTTTTATTCGAAATACAAAAATCACGACATGTATCAACGCTACAATAATCGGCGCACCTCGCTGAGTTTTGTACACTTGGCCAGCCATGTTTATGCCAAAATTGCCACGCGTTACATTTCCTTTTTCCGTTCTCCGCCCAGGCTTTGCTTCGTTACCGAAACGGCGACCCTTTCTGCAGCGGTAGCCTGGTGTCCGAACGCTACGTGCTGACGGCGGCCCACTGCGTGGAGAACCTCCGCACGCGCACAGCGGCCATTGAAGTGGCACTGGGGAAGCTTTTCATCGACAAGGAAGAGCCCGAAGAGATCGTCACTGACGTGCGGGACATTCGGATTCACCCCAACTACAGGCTGGTCACCGTGGACAGCGACATAGCGCTGGTGCGTAACGAGATGGACGGTCACGCTTGCAGAGGACTCTGCTAGTTACTTGGGCCCGTCTTCTGGGATCTCTGATGTTCTCGTTTACCGGACTACACTACGCTCCAAGTTCGACAGCAGCCTTCGCCAGGATCCGAGGGTAGCCAACCAAGCATCGCCAAAAAGTGCCTCGTCTGTTTTCTTGGTCGATTTGCTATCACTGGCTGAAGCAATCGGGCGTAGGAGGAAGCGCCCCGGCGCAATCACGGTGTGGGATGGTCGCTGGTAGCGAACGCACAAAGACGATGAGTGCCGTGACCAAGCACTTTTGGCACCACTCAATTGGCTTCATCGGATCCTAGCTTCGGATGCGGTCGGACTTTCAGTGGAACGCAGTATAACAATCCCATTCTCATAAATTTTGTAAGAGAGAAGATGGGAATTCTTCCTTTCCATCTTTTCTCGTAAAGGCCGGAGGCGAGACAGTTATTGTCACTACCTGTCAAGGTTCCTAGACGAGCATTGACGACCAGACACTAGCGACATCCACCAAGGGCACCTTGGTAATCGTTTAATTTGTTTTAAAATTCCTTTTCATATCTTTCTCGAGAAAAGATTGGTGTGCCTGATGGGATACTGCTGCCTTGAACACGACTTTCGTTGTAGTATCCCTTTAAAGGGACACAGACAGAGTATTTATGGCAGCCAAGGTTTTTATCTGTACATCAAATATGAGAGCCCAGCTGTCCAAAACACGATTCGCGGCTCGAAATTTGTTTTCTATCCGCCCGAAAACCGTTGATCGAGAACTGTTCTGTTTGAGTTGCACTCACTCTCTTTTCCGTGGTCACGTACCGTTTTCTATGGTTTAGACACAACCACCAAATACATTCGAAGCCGTGGGTCACGGAAGGCGCACACTCAATATTAAAAACATAAAAGAAGTATGATACCCATTTGTGGCTTCTTAAAATCCGCGAATACGTTGATTGAAGAAAAAAAGTTGCACAGCCACGTGACTTCAACCAACTCTCTCCCCCTCTTTATTTCTTCTTCCTTTGCAGTCCAGTTGCAGTCCAGTTTCGGTTTCGATTTCGAGCAGCTACGTTTTTTGTTTTTTTTTCTTTATTCAAAATATACGTGACGCTGAAGCTAAATATTGATAGGGTACTCTTCTGACACCATAGCGAATCGAAACATTTTGGGGGGTGTCCGTCTCCCTTTAACATTCTCCGTGACCATCCGCGTGAAGTGAGCTTTGCACCGGTAGGCGTGCTCAGTCGCCCACTCTGCTAATAGTGGTGACGGTGACGGATGACGGTTATACTGGTTTCAAAAGAATTGATGAACACACGTATGGTCCTGACGCAGCGCTCAGTTGCGTAAAGGCCCCCAATGTTCACATATTTTATGTCTATTCCGAACTTCATATTACGTGCTTTGTTTTTCTCTTTATTAGTTGCTTCAAGAAAAATTGATAGAAACCTACAAATCTTTTATGCTAGGCTTTCACCCGACGTTATCACATTGATCAAATATGCTTGTTCCGGAAACGATAAACATATTTTTCGGTGCGACATGTATGTCGAAAGAGGTACGAGCTCAGAAACAAGACCAAATTACTTGCCGCTGATGCAATGTAAATACTAACCATGTAGTCAGTACGAATCAGAAAGCAAACGGGTGAGCACAGGATTCAGTGCTGTCTAAATTAACTGACTTGCAACTAAAATTGTGTTAACTTTTCCTTTCTTCCAAGTTATTTTTAATACGTTTAGAGTTATTCTAAATTATTCTAAGTAAAGCAGTTCAGGAGACACCAGCATCTTTAACTAATTGACCATTGACGTTGAGCTAAAGGACAGAAGCCAGAATAGGCATGCGTACACGGTAGGGAAGCAATAATACCATTACACAGTCAATGGTGTGTCCTTGGAGATTAAATACCGTTTCCTGCCACTAAACTGGAAAAGCGTTTTTTTTTTTTTTTTTTACCATCTTCAAACGAAATCTACACATAAATGGACGCAGTAAGTGGTTGGAGGGGTTTAATGTCGCTAAAAAAGTAATTGATTAATCTATATCATCTTGTAGATATACTGATCAGTCTGTGCTCAAATTCTTACCTCGTTCGAAACAGTTTGTTCGTTTTTTTTAAGTTGTTTCCTTTCACTTCATCTAATAAACAAGACTAGGTCTTGCTTTTGTTAGTTTTCTTGTTTATACCAGCTTCCCGTTCCTTGACTCACATTAACTATGGTCATGAAACCCCCCTATCTGTCGATTTATGTTTTATATACTTAAAGCTCAATCCTGACGTTTTATTAAGAATATGCGAATTATAATTTAAAAGGTTAAAAGTTTGAACTGAAACACGGGCTAAATAAAAAAACACGTACGACTACGACATACACAACTTATAACTGGTTTTATTGAAGAAAAAGTCACTCTGCCAGCCTGTCGTTCACCATACCGATAACAAGCCGATAACTGATAACATACCGGTTGTTTTGTAAGAAGCGATCTAAAAAAGAAATGTCCTTCTCACTAGAAAAGCTTTCATTTCCTCATTCAGCAGCTTATTCAGCAGCTAAAGACGGAAATGTGTGTTTTTTTTTTTTTTACATGGCTTTATTTAAGACTGCCTATATGTTATCGGTGTATGACCTGTTATCGGTTGGTGTACGACTGAGTGAATGTTTCTTGAAAAATATCACTTGTAAGTAGCGCCTTCCTTGTCGTTCGTGTTTCTTTTTTCGCCCGTTTTTCAGTTCGCGCTCTTAACCTTTTAACTGATATGAACCAACGATACCCAACCATTGTCTGATACGGCGTGCAGTTGGTCTGTTTCTTCCGCACATCGTGCGTTTGTTACCGCTCCAGATGCGGCCATGTGCTCTTGTTTGCCCCCAACGTTAATCAGTGACGAAGCGCGCTTGGCTGTTTTGTCATCGCGCGTATCCTGCCATTTCTCTATGTTATCATTGATAGGCTTGCCCCTCCTTGCGTTCCAATGCGCCAAAGGCGAATTCCGCACACTTCTATTATATGAAATATATGTAGTCAGGAAATAAATTGAAAACATGAATTTAAAGTAAAAACTACTTAGAACTATGGCCTAACCTTTGTCATCTTGCCACGTCTTCGGCGGAAACCTCTCACAAAGCCAATTTCAAACTATAGCACACATATTGCACTATAATTACAATAGGTATTTCCAAAACTATAATTTATTTAGGACTCGTGATGAGGCGAGCTATACAGATTCGGAGCATAGACGTCAATTTTTGAATGGCGTAGAATCCGTAGATCATCGTCCGTTCTAACATGGTAACCACACAAAATTTAGCTCGATCACGACATCCCTAGCCCATATCGCCGCGACCTTGTGAGCGTGTATTTTGATCGCTGCCAAAAGTAATGCTTCTACTCGCTGTGCCTCAGGTGGAGCTGGCGGATCACATCAGCTTCAACAAACTGATTTCCCCAGTTTGTCTGGGACAGTCCGAACACGTGGAGCGAACCTTCTTTGCTCATCCCAAGACGAAGGCCGTCGTCACTGGCTGGGGACGCACCATGAGCTCGAGGAGTGCTTCTAGTCGTCTCCAGGAAGTAGAAGTGCCCATCCACGCCCCGGACACATGCCAGCGGTCCACAAACTTCACGGTGAGAGGAAGGGGGGCCAAGCAGGCCAAATAGCCGCTACATTCACTCAGAAGTTGAGAGAGCTGCAGGGAGGACAATCAGTCGTTCCACCTCCAGCGCAAGTTTCCCACCTTCGTCAAGCCTTTGGCAGCTCGTGCACATCGAACGCGTGTACCCAGCCAATGCACAGCTGAAGCCACGGAGCGCGTGCTGGAGGCCAGGCGTTCGACAGACACGCCTTGCGCCTCTCATTTTATCAGTGACTATTGGCAACATGCGCGATGGAAAGCGTCGTTGTGGTCGACTTTCCACGATTGGCCGAATGCTGACTGTATCGTAAGCAAAGGACTTCTCATCGACAGAAATAAGAGTGATGCCACAACTTTAATTTTGACGGTGTTCGCAGAGTTAGTTTCAGATCACAATGATTTCAAGCTTCCACCATGCTCATTTCAAACACCATGCAGCTTGTTGTTCACAGGGTAATGACGTCACAGAGGAGGAACCGTATGAAAGCGTTGCCGAAACATCTCGCCGCTAATAGCACTGTTTTCACGGAGGTTTGTTCAGATCAAGGCTTTCATAAAGAAATTTCCCGAAAACATATAAACAAAAAGGGCAATGCAAAAATGAAGCGCGTTATATTTTCTCAAGAGTTTTCCTTCAAAATCTACTGGAGAAATTGAACCGGTGTATAATTGCATGCGCCAATTCAGATTCTTTTTTAAACATTTTGCAAGCTAAATGTTACTTCAAACTTTTGCCGGACATGACTTCGCTAAATTTTGCGGCATTTAGAGCGCCTTCCGAGCTCAGACAGCTCAGCAATGAACACTTAGAGCGACTCAACACACGCGGCACAAATTCTATTTCCCGACTTTATTCGTAGGATTATCATATATTATACCTAGGGTTTCGTGTTTTCGGATAAATCCGCTAAACTCCGAAAAACACTCACCGGATAAATTTTCGACAACTTAGATTTATCCGCAAAATTCAGAATTTCGAGGTCACGATAAGCCCCCAAACAATGGTATGTTAAGAAAAATTGTCGTGAGAGAAAAAGGCTAGTAACCTTAACAACAAATCCGATTCCGATTTTTTTTTAGTTATTGACAAGAGAGAGTTTCACGTTTCCCTCTTAAAAATTTGTTCAGCAAACTGTGGCAATGCACCCCTGTCGAACGACAAAGGCCGGAATTCCGGACTCCAGTTTGAAGCATACCATTAGTGCCTCAAACCGAGAAGGGGTTGTGTTTTCATGTGAGGAGGGGTTGTGTTCTCACCGAAGGGAAAGATGTGAATCTGTAGATATCTTAAGATGGGAAGGGCAGCTGAAGGTATTCTGGGTCAGGAGTTTGGCGATATTAGAATGCCGACGTTTCTTGAAGCAATATTGCTTTCAAGATTTGTCGTGGGACAATTAGTACTGCCAGTTGCAAGCGCGCCAATGCCCAAAACGTCTGCAGAAATTCGGTACTGGTGATTTTTTTTTATAAATTTAGCGTTGGTTTTCATTCAGACATTACTTACTTTCATTAAAAAGATCAGAACAGAGTAAAATTGAATTCCGAATTGCGGAAAATTTAGAATCTAACAAAAATAAATTTCAATAGACCCCGAATATTTACCATAAAATAAACTTCAAAACTCCGAAAAAAAAAATGAAAACTTCAAATTTTACAAATAATAAACTCCGAAAAACGCCCTCCGAAGTTTACAAGCAATAAACTTCTAAAACACCGAATTCTAATTATAACAAAGTTGTTTATTGAGTGAGGCCATTCATTGCGGAAGTGAAGGCTTTCGGGAGCTTATTTTTATTGGCCTTACGTTAACCTCTAAGGTAATTAAGCACGTTCAAAATTTGAAACACAAAAATAACATTATCCGAGATTGGTCGATGACTTAAAGAGGCCATCCAAAGGTTGTTTAACTAGTTTCAATTTTGCTTACCAAATGCCATTTAAAATCGTGCGAAACAAATGCAATCAACGAAATCGCTTTATTAAAGGCTGCTGTTTCTGCATAGTTAAGGATATGCGAATCGCAGCGCTAGCGTTCCCCGGCTAACTTGTCCCTTGACTTAATATTGGTGCTGCACGCTACGCGTATTGAAATAATTCAATATTGCTCTCAGTCTTGTTGAGGACGCCTATATACTTTTGGCGATGGGCCAAACTGGCTAATTAAGACAGATTAATTATCTAAGTTTTTAAACGCATTTATTCTTTTTTTTTTCTTTTACATATGAAGATACTGACAATACAGTAGAAGGGTAATATTGGAAGAGCACTAAGTACATACATAATAGACACGACTCATCATTACAACATGCACGAAAAAATGCTACCAACACTACATCAGATACATAGGCAATATATACAGTATAGGGAACTATGATGCACAAAACAAATACATTGCAGTTTTTTTATCACCAAATAATGCATGAAATCAACGCAAGTAGCAGTGCAACGTATATGAAAAAATAAAAATAAACGCATTTTTGGTTTCAATCTACCCATATTATATATACATAACTTCGAGAAAAAAGACAATGATACATGGCAATCCAATGATCCCAAGTTATAAATATGTTTGCAAAAAGGCATCTTAGTTCGAAATAAGATTTTATGAAAATGTTATTAATCAAGTTCATTTCACTATTTATGGCTACATGAAAGAAATACGTAAACATTCGCTCCTAAAAGAGTATTCAGATAAAACTTTCCTGTGCTTGTGCCTAGTCGGCCTAGTATCAGAAAAAGAAACTTACCTATACTTGTAAATTTTAACGGCACCATTTTGTATTAGATAAACGAACTTAAGTCTTAATTATTTGGCTCTGGTAGCTAGGGCTAAAAAAAGAAATTGTATTTAAAAGTTCTGACGGAGAGTTGATACGACTCTATATATTTAAGGTAAAACGTATTGCTTTGGACTGTTTATTTTCAAGCTTAAGTTAGTCTTTGTATCATGAAACCAAACGCTGTTCGCATATTCAAGTGTCGGCCTAACATGACTGGTGCAAGCTAGGAGCATTGTAGCAGTGGTGGCTTCAACCAGTGTGCAACCATAAAAAATAATAGCGCGAAAGAGAAAGGACAGCGAAGGGCAGGACAGGACACGCGCTGTCATAAAAATAATAGTGCCGCGCGCCAAGTAGACAGCGCGGCCGTAGCCTAACGGTTATCGCGCTTGTCTCCCACGCGAAGGGCCAGGGTTCGATTCCTGGCCGTGGCTACGCATTTTTGTTGACACTGTATTGTGATGTTCTGGTGAATTCGAGAACCGCCTAGGGCTGATTCGAGGTTAGAATGATCTACGCGTCGAACCTTCTTCGTCGAATGCTCCAGAAGCCAGCGCGTGTACGAAAGCCGCTCCGCGTGGCAAGCCGGAGTCAGTTTTCGCCCCAGCGTTCGACTCTGCTCTTTCGCCGACTTCGACGCCCGCGACGCTCTGCTGTTATCGTTTGGTTCCTTTTTATGTTTGGGCACAAGTTCGCCCTATTAAACGTTTAGTTCCTGCAGTTATTCGCCGCCTCATCACTTGTCCTTCGTGAGGAGGTCGACGAGGGTGGTGTGGAAAGCAAAGATATTCAAGTGGTGATGTCCCAAGCAAGCGTTTCTCGTGCGAAGGCGGTACGAGCATTGAAGAACAACAATAATGACATCGTAAATGCAATCATGGAACTGACAATGTAGCAGAGGTTGTAAGCAAGCAAGACCTGCAAACCGTCGTCAAGCATTGCAGCGGGCTCTACAGCTGTGATTATTGTAAAAAGATACGAATCCGACTCGAAAATCATTGCCTGCCAAAATGTCTCGAAGCAGTTGCTTCTAGTTCTAAATATTGCCGCAAATTAAAGTGTTCGAAATCGAAAAAAAAATGCGTAGTCGCGGCCAGGAATCGAATCCTGGCCCTTCGCGTGGGAGGCAAGCGCGATAACCGTTAAGCTACGGCCGTGCTGCCTACTTTGCGCGGCAATAGCATGAAAGACAAAGGACAAAGGAGGACAGGACAGGACAAGCGCTTGTCTTGTTCTGTACTCCCTTGTTTTTCGTGTTTCGCGCTATCATTTTTTATGATAGCACTTGTCCTGTCCTGCACTCCATTCTTCTTTGAATTTTGCGCTATTATTTTTTATGTTGTTCAACCAACTAGACCACTTACTTATTTTGCTCTAACCAGTACTAGATTCTGCGTTTGTTTTAGGCACCTTAATCTTCTGAGAGGTTTCGATGTTACATAATTTACATGAAGATTCTACTTTATGTCAGAGGTTATTATCATACCTAGACACTGACTTGCACGTGAAGGTGTAGCAATACAACCGTAGGTAAATTCAGAAATATTTTTATCATTGTCATTAAGAAAACGATACCTTATCATTCAGATTCAACTCCCTCTGGGTACATCACACATTTATTACTTGGCGCGAGTTATTAGGAGCTAAATAACCGTCTAATCAGTTTATTTTCATGGAAATTGCACGGTTGTATTCGAATGGCTGAATGTTAGAATATATGTCTTTGGTTGTGTCGTTTATGAAGAGTAGGAACAGGACCGGAACAAACAGACTCTGCAGGTACCAGAGATTACTAGGGAAATCTCAGATGGCCCCATTCCGGCTGAACAAGCCAAGATACCTTTTGCAATGGGCCAAACTGGCTAACTATGCTAGATTAATTTGCTGACGTTTCGAATGATAATTTGTGCGTTAACACTCCATTACGATTTTGCAGAGCCTCCTTAGAAACAGCTCACCGTGTAGTTTTCATATAAGTAGTCTTCGTGTGTCTAATTCCTTTTTTCTTGCTTCCAAAAATGGTATGAAATTATGCGCGTGATTTAAAAAAAACGTTTTACATGACTAAACTCTACCGAACTTTGACGTAAGTGCCCCTAGTCTCTTGGGACTTTTTTTTTAAATCTCGCACACTGTTTGCTATGCTAAAAACTATACACACGAGAGCTACCTTCGGAGAAAAGGCGCGATGAGATCTTTCTGAACTGGCTTACGTTCACGAATCAATGATCATTTGTAAAGTTAACTAACTTGTTTATGTTAACTTGCCTGTTTAGCCCATCGCAAAATATATATATACATTTATCTCTCATGCCTTAAGTGCCTTAAGGAGGTTTCTGATGTCGCCTAACTATGGCCGATAACTCATTCTGCTGCCTATAAGCATCCTAGAATTTTTACGACGCGCGACTGATTTCTCTATTAAAAAAAGCTCGCAACCAGTGGCGTTGCGAGGGTAGCGGAACCCGGGGCGGTAGCCCGACGCGACCCCCCCCCCCCCCCCCGCTCTCGCGTGGCCCGCCGCAATTTCCCCTCCCCCCCCCCCCCCCGCCCCCCCGTGACATTCCCTTGAGCGCTGCACCCGGGGCGGTCGGACATCCCCCCCCCCCCCCCCCCCCCCCCCGCTGTGACGCCACTGATCGCAACACATCGATTTCCCTTCCGGCGATGGGAGGAGCGCGTTCCGAAACCAGGAGTACCGTCAGTCAATAGAGATTTTCTGTTTCCTGTTCGTCTCAGGCGCGTGGGTTCCGTGTCTGGTATTCTGGACGAAAAAATAATGAAACATTTTAACCTGGAATCAGCGAGAAAATATAGGTGAGGCAAGAGGAGAATCTGTAACAATCACACATTTTTTGTAAACAACTTCCGGCGGCGTGGACATTTCGAAACGATGTTTTACCGCATACCACAAGTGACGGTATTCAAGATGGCTGCGTCATTGTGGAAAAGGGGGAGAGCAAGGGAAGGATCCTCGCGCCTCCGGCAGGTGGAACCGCGGAGTGATATCTCGAATGTGCGCGGCTCATTGCCCATACAGCCCGGACTACGATTCAACTCAGCGAGCACTCGCTCGAGCGCTCAAGAGCTGACGACCAACCACATCACTTCCGCGAAAGAAAAAACAAAATCATTGTTTATTGTGTTTCAGACGATTATTGCAGTATTGTGTTCTCTCTCTGTGAAAAAAAAATTACATTTTCGACTACTCTTATTTGCTTTTATCGTTTACAGATGTCTACAGATTGTGTACTAACCTTGTTTGCAACCTCAACGAAATGTCGCGTTTTCATTGGTCATAGCCCGTCCTGGCTATGACCAATGAAACCAATGAAAAAAAATCGACCGCGCGTGGCTAGGGTTAATAGATTTTTAGGATACTTGAGCCCGCAGAATGAGTTATCGCCATATTTAGGAGATCTCAGAAACCTCCTCAGGGCAACTTTAACACTGTGAAAGCTACTTTGTTTCTTCGACAACTCTAGCGGGCACCGGAATTTTTAACTATCGACAAAAGTTAGCTTAATCACCCTGTGTGTTATTTTCAAACTCTCAAGATTTCAGCGTTTCAATCATCGTCTACAGTAGGTTGATTAACAGATTAGTCAGTAAAATAAATGTCGCCAGTTAACCGGCCAAGTTCCTTTCATTGCTACAGTCCTCTCCTAACATCGCACGAACACGAATTTCACAGACCTTGGCGCATTCGTACTAATGCAAGCAATAAGGAGCGTACACATGTCCAAGGTAACTTTGTCTACACTATATTATATTGCTCCGATTGTTGTTGTAACCACAGCAAAATTGACCATTTCGTGACGTCTAAGAGAATAAAAACTTTTAGACTGAAATATTTGTGGCCTAGAGGAATTTAGAAAAGCGAGAAATGCCTGCGAGGAAGTACGTAAACAAGCAAAACACCTTAGTTTCATTAATTCGACGTGTTTCTGAAACGCATAAATGCACATAAATAATTTTGATTTGAGTCAATTTTGTAAAACAATATAACCTAGAGGAGAACTTACCTTCTTAAAATTAAAACGGCTTTTGCATCTTGTGAACAAAAAAAATTAAAAGAGCGGACTTTAATCAATATCATAATATAAAACAATTGAATCATATTGATATATTTGTCCCACTTCACGTTTTAAAGACGTGTAAATTCCTTAAGACAAAAAAAATTCCAAGCATATCTGTGCAATGGTTATTGCTCGGGAATAATTAATTTTTATTTGGGGGGAAAGAGCATGGCATTGTCTCAAGGGTGGCAAGGTCCCACCTTCTCCCAAACTTTGTTTCATCCGCCTTATGGGGCTTTCCAGGTGACCGAGAACATGCTCTGCGCCGGTGCCACGACGGGGGGTGTGTCCCGCGACGCGTGCGACGGCGACAGCGGCGGACCCCTGGTGGGCGTCAAGGACGGCCGCTCCTACCTCCTGGGCATCGTGAGCTGGGGCGACAGCGTCCTGTGCGGGAACAAGGGCAGCTACGGCTTCTACACGAAAGTGAACAAATTCCATACCTGGGTAAAGAGCATCATCGACTGATCCCCCTGCAGCTGAAAGGAACGGCTCATGGTTGTTATTTTCACGGAAGTCAGTACGGCTGCTGGATGCTTTCAGTTATCGCCCTAACAACAGACATTCATCTTTGTTGAATCCTTTGACACAAAGAAGCAACCTTTGGTGAAGACCGCTGCAATTCAAACTAATCCTTAAAGATGCGATTTATGTTGAGTTTGGACGAAAAGCGCAAATTCAGCGAAACTTGCAGGACTGCCTGAAAAATATACTTGCAGATCATTTCTCCTGGCCAGTTTAAAGCTATTTAGATTTGTTGACGCATTTCATTCTTTTTTTTGTGAAAGCTAATTTTTGATTGCAACAAAAAAACAAACAACGGCTCTTTCAAAAAGATTGAATGCAGAGGAGGCTTAAAAGTATATTCTTAGTTTCTTTAAAGACAACTGTACCCATTAATGGCACCTTAATATTTCAACATCACTTTATTGCAGATACGTTCCCTGATGTCTGAGATTAATAAACATTGCTTATGTGTTATCGTTATACTCTATAAAAATATTCCGTGTATAAGATATTGCTTGGAGTGCTTTCTAAGCTCTTGCATGTTTGAATGCTGCGTCTCAAACCCAACGCAATAATAATTTTAAAAAAACTGGTATTTCGCTATGTCAAACTCGCCTTAAATTTACAGTGCAGTTTATCTCAACAAGGCGAGTGCTTGCTCGAATGGTTTCCTAGTCTCAAACAAAAGAAACATACAAGGAATGTGCTCATAGAAATTTACAAATCATGTGTGTTCCTTGAAGTAAGGGCTACACACACAAAACGAGTTTCCTTTACAAGCATTTCGCGTAGATAAAATAGAATGATCTTTCCTGTTCTTCAATAAAATCCCATGTGGACTAGCGTTATATTGCTCTAATAAAATACTGTTCAATTTAACAACCCAGTCTCAACAAAATCAGCGCTAGGGCAGACGCACTTATATATTGAGATTTGAGTCTCTACGTGCAATATTTTGTTCTTAAATGGTAGATTTATCTATGCTAACTATTCTTTCTCTGAGACAAGCTCAAGTGAGATGGCTACTCACTTTATTCAATGTAAGCCGTTCCTACCCTCATGTACAATTTCTAACATGCGCACCACGCAGTGTATATTTTGAATTTGTATTTTCGTTTGATGGGATGTGGCACTTGAGGTGCATTTAGTCAACCTTGCATTTATATAGATGGGACTGTTGTTTCTCAGGGCGATGAGATCCTCCCGAGTCTGTAAATTGTCTGCTTTTTTTGTGGTAAGTGAGCACTGAGTCGTAGAAAAGCTAATCGATGACTCAAATTTCATCGCACATCGTTTTGTTCCCATGACGCGTAATGTTTTATCTTGCTTTGAATTTCGCTATTCACTAATCATGTAACATTTTTCATTGCGCGTGTGCGTGTTTCCGCCTGTGTTCTAAGCTGAAGTGTGAATTTGATGTCATCGTTCATGACAAAACGTGAGTTCACCATGCAACGTAGCAATGTGGATCTTGAAAAACCCAAATATCGTGTATATAAAGAACCATTATTCATCTTGGCGACACATAAACACAACACAATAATATTTGCGATGCCATCATTCTTTGTATCATAGAATCAGCCGGTCAGGCTTCTCCCACAAAACTCAAGCTCCGCCCACACAGAACAGTGCTGGTGTACCAGCGGCCGTCTTCTGGTGAACTGCTGCTTCAGTGTCAGGTTATAAACACCGCACATGACAGTTCGAAAATTATATGCTATTAATGTCCTGTTTACTGTATATTGTTATAGAAGCGCATATTTGTGATGGCCCATTCCTTAATGACAGGAGAAGTTTTATTTTTTATTAAGTAGACCAATTTTCTATGGAAATTTGAGGTTAGAGCTTCTAAGTTTGTAAATATTGCAAACATAAACCAATTGTTAAAGACATAAAGAGCGTTCATTATCTGCGTCCTTCCACTGGGGAGGATTTAGTACTTGTCACCCACTCCACAAGGCAGCACTCACATACACTCCGACCTGCTCAGCTCATGATAAAGGTCACATGCACACTGTGTTTTTGTTTGTCGGTTCATAATCAACCTGTCTAATGGTGTCTTTTTTTAAATTTCTGGACGATTATTAAAACAAACTTGAATAAAGATGATGACAACGCTATGTTCCCTATGTTGCTTTTATTCTCCGGCTAACAGTCAACTACCCCAAAGTGCTTTCGATATAAAACATTCAATCAAATATTCAACAGTGTCCTATTGGGATAATTAATAGAAATGACGTTCATCCAAAAAGAGTAAATCTCTGGGGAAAAAGCTTCCTGACCCATCAAAATGAAATACTCTTTCAGATTTTGCCACACTTCGTTTATACTTCGTTCCGACTTAGCACTAAACGCAGCCAAAGCTACGTGGTAATACTACCAATCAAGCAGCCTCAAAAGCGCAAGTCACTAGGTCCTGTTTGTTTATGAGGGGTTCAGCGATGATCGAACATGTAAAAACTTGGAAATCAGAGAGCTTCAAGAGCTGCTCATTTGAAGCTCTCTGCTTGGTTCCATCGACTCGAAGCCTGGGCAGCGTCTTCACTTAAGGTGAAAGAAAGTAGAGAGTATGTAGAAAAGTTCATATCTGGATGAACGAAACACTAAATTGGCGTCAATGCTTCAGCAATTTTAATTAAAATATAGTACATTACTAATTTCTATTAAGAGCCTACACACTCAAAAGTAGCAAATTTTAACTTCTTTTTAAGTCCGTGATAGAGTGGTGACTAACCCTTATAAATATATACTTTAATTGTGGCATTCTTAGAAGAATTGTGCATAGCTTGTACGAAAAATGGCGATTCCTTCAATCGCGAAGCTGCAGAAGTATATTGCCAAGTGTGTAGCAGAGCAAGCGCGTGTGTGGCGAAGGATCCGGGTTCGAATCCAGGGAGCGGAATCTTCTTTTATTTATTCTTTCTACATGGCGTTCTCGTAAGTTCGAGAACATTCTCGTCCGATCCAGTTACGAATGTTCTACGAGCCGAACGTTCTAGGCCGAATGTTCCAGAAGCCCTCGCGTGTACCAAAGGGGCTCCGCGTGGCGTGCCGGAGTCAGTTTTCGCCCTAGCGTTCGACTCTGCTGTCACGTCGACTTCGACGCCCGCGACGCTCTGTTTTCTTCTGTTCCCTTTTTTATTTTTGGGCACAAGTTCGCCCAATTAAACGTTTAGTTTCTTCATTTATCATCGCCTCATCGTTTGTCATTCGTGACAATCTCGCCGAAAAAAAGGACCACACAGAGTATCGATAGCCACGCTGCATCGCACAATAAAAAAACTCGGTTGAAGGTAGAGCAAACGGTCAAGAAATTCCCATTTGATCGAGCGCCCACAATCATTCAGTGACGTCGCGGGTATGTTCGCGAAATCAAAAATGTACCTTCAACAGAAAAGATCTGCCTACTACACCTACGACACCTGGTTCCACGCCGGTGCGCGAAATTCAAGGTATGGGTGGATACGACGGTCACCAGCACGAGCCCATCGGAAAGCCCAGTCCTTTCTACAGATCCAAATGATCCGACGTGTAAAAGTAAGTGTTTAATTATCACACACTACATCAACGCAAAAATTTGGTTGAAGGTATTGAAAAAGCTTTCCGAGCAAGAAAGCAAACTGGGAACTGCCATCAAGAAATCAATGGTCGACATTACAGAGGCGGCTCACGGAGCGGCTGCTCTTAAACGTCTCGACCCAAACAGCGTCATTGTTATTGACAACGCTCCTTACCACACAGTAAAACGAGAAAGAGTTCCCCGATGAGCCCCACGAAAGGGATATACGAGACTGCACAGTAGACTTCAGAACAGATATAATGGTGTTCGGCAGGTCTTTCCTGCAAAATACATCTCTTAAATTATTTTTATATGCAAAGAAGGTCCAATGATTTTATACACCTGCGGAGTGTCTGAGAAAGGTTTTGTTACATCTTTTTTCGGGTTTAGAAATGTGCTCGGTAAATATTACACCTTTTACAGATAAGAACATAAGATGGTGGTTGCGATTGAAAACAGAACAGATTTTGTAAGTTTGCCCGGATAGACTCTACTGAAATAATAGACTGGAGTCATGGTGGGCTTAGGGTATAAGACATGCTTTCGGGAACGTTGGGCATGGGGGGGGGGGGGGGGGAGGGGTTGTTGAGGGGCTAGTTTCATTAGAAAAAGGGGATGATTATGCACACAATTAGAAGTGGCTAACGTTTCTCAGAGCTTCGGTTATGAATTTTGTAAATCGGCGAGAAGACACCCCATCACCCCACTGCAATCGATATCAACAAAAAGTGATGGCGGTCGAACAAACGGACAGGCCTGCGGAGGTTACCAGTCAGAATCTGTTCTTGAGTGTTTCTTTATGTTTTTCCAGCAAGTTTACAACCTGTAAATATTAATATTTACAAAATAAGAACTTCCGATCTATGCACATTTCTTCTCTTTTTTGCGTGTGGGCGAGAATCGAAACTGCCACACGAATACTAGGAACTTAAAATACTGTGTACTACGCTTGGTGAATTGGGTGCTTTCAATCGCCATATTTAAGTCAGTGATTTCCCCTCGCGTCTGTAAAAACTAGTTCACGTTTGAGTAATCAAGGACTGTGTTCCAAATCTTACCCAAATGGATCCAAGTTACTCCGGCGGGTCGTGTCACGTGACAACACATATTGAAAATCGCTGGACGCGGGTAGGTTTTGGAAAGCCAAGGTGCAAAACTTTTACCCTGGAGTAAGATCGAGTAAATTTTGGAACACGGCCAAGCTGTGCTGATGTGTATGTCTACGGTTTTTGCCTAAAATATTCCGATGTGAGGAAAACGGTGACGTTAAACTAAGCTACGCCGATTGAGGACCGCAAATTACTGGGATATTCGTGCTTCGTATACCATGTTCCGAGCCAGTGGTTGAATTGGTCTCCTCGCGAAGTATATGAAGCACGATTGTATTGCCCTTGCGGCGGGATCTTGGCGTAAACCCCAGCTACTATATTTGGAGTCAGCCAAACCAGCTCCTCTTCGAACGCTAGCGCTTGCAAATTTATGAAAATGTGGAGTCACCTCCTCCTCGCAATAGTGGATTTTACCTGCAAAAAGATCACATTAAATAAATATGTGAATAATGGGTATCACAAATAAATGCTGAAAATGTGAAGGTTTCCAATAAAGGTTCATTCAGTTTCTTCATACAAATGCAAAGAGATGAATGGTTTTGGTTTTGGACTAGATAAAGGCAAGCTCTGATAATTTGGCATCTGGTTCAAACCGATAGCGCTGCATTTATGTGGACACTTTTCACTTGACGACGCACATCTTTTGTTGTTGTTTTTTTGTGCTAAAAAAACCCAGGTAGACCACCTGAGAAACGCCCAACATGGGCGAAAGTGTGGCAAAAGTAAGGGCCTAACTTGAGACCAGTTAGGTTTTGCTCCATGGCGCTTATCAGTGCCAAAGTACGTTGCCTAACTATAGCTCTTGTTGGGCGATACTAGGGACGACGTGGCTTTTCTCTGGTCCGCCACAGGAGTGGCGAAGGAAGTGCCACACTTGAGGCATAACTTCCAAAGCAACGCCTAATAGTACAGTTTTTCTCCGAGACGCCCGGTACATATTTGCTTGCAGTTCCTATGTGCCAAAGCTCTTGATTTAAATGGTGCTGTGCGCGTAACAATATCGGTCATCCTTAAACAAGCACCACACTTTGTTTTCAAATGACATCGTGAAATAATAATATATCTGCAAACTGGCAAGTTGTCCATGGTGCGTCAACTTGACGCAGTTGAAGCTCCAAGCCACTCAAGCATTTCGAAATGAAATCTACTGAATAACACCTTCTTATGAATTATGTTTTTTTACTAATTTTCTGAATGTCATATTCTGATATATTTCTAATTGTTGATATTGTCATATAACACCTGAGACAGTGGTGGAAGAAATTGGAAAATTTTCAGTAGAAGGAACAGACGCAGAAAGGGATGTCTCGAACTCAGCTAACTGGTTTGTTTCTCGACCATCCTATATATACACACGAAGCCCTTCCCAACCACATTCTACGCAGAAATCTCCTTTGTCGAAAACAGTTCCAAATGGAGAGAACATACATGACACACAAAGAGATCAAGCGCACGCACAGACAAAAGAGCCCCTTAAATGTGGGACACCTCGGGACATGGGTGACCTCGATAAAATTGTCGACGACAGCGCACATAAAACAAGGCCACTACAAGGCATCGCAGTGCCCTTCACTGAAAAGTGCCGAACTATCCTAAACAGTAGGACCAAAACCACACGTGCCATTAAAAAAAAATGAGAGAAGAACCATTTTGGGGAGTTAGGGGAGACACATCTTGGTGACGTCTAAACCGCGGTGACGAACCCTAACTGCATATTGTCCCCCGAAGCCCGCTTTTTCCCATTTTCTTTTCCCTTCCCTTTACTCGCGAGTCGATGTGTTCGTTTATAGTCTCAGAAACTTTTTGGAGTTGCTTCCAAGTTGCATTGATGCTTGGCTTATGCAGTTTCCCGTTGATTTAATCCTTATCGTTTCTTTAACGACCCTCTTTATATTATCGCGCTTTTTATATAGAACTTCCGTTTCTGACCAGTGCGCAGTGCAAATGTTGCATTCCTCGATGTGTTTTGTAATTTTCGAGTTTCCGGAATGGGTCTGTTAATTGTGGCCATGAAGTCATCTGCTCGCAGCTATGTGCGGTGGCCTGGCATTGACTGCGACAAAGAGAAAGCTGTTGGCAGCTGCCCCATTTGCCAGGGCCCGTTTGCTCAAAAGCGCTAACCGCAGCTAAAGTTAGCCGCAGTACCTAGGAGAGGGATTTTTAAATCACCTGACTGGGCTCGGAAGGGATCCGGGGAAACATGGCGGCGCCCCGGTGAGTGGTCGCCGCTCGCTTTGGAAGTAATATGTCGTTGTAGCTGCAATATCGGGCGCGTTAGTCAGCAACGAATGGTGCCGGCAGTGGCGTACCAATTTCTTTTTGAGTGTGTGGGGGGGGGGGGGGGGGGGGGCAGACCAAAACCCCCCCTTCCCCCCACACCCCAATGGACGGTGCGGTCCCTTGGTATTCCTGTGGCACCGCCGGCTAGTGTTTGCCGTGCCCAGTGGTGGCT